GAGGCCACCCGGGTGCCGCCCCTGCTGAGGCGGGCCTCCCTCCCAGCCTGCACTGAAAACTTGGCCTGCGAAATCTAGGGTACAGGTTGTGTTCCGGCGGTGGTAGACGGTCAGTGACCTGCTAGTGGCAGGCAGCAAGCGTTTAATTGCGGCTTTAGGTACAGGGACGCATTTTAGAAGGCCAGGCAGCACCCCAGCTCGGACAGAGCGCGTCCACTGGCCTGGGGCTTCCCAAGATGGCGGTCTCCGCCTTGGGAACGGCGGCCTGCGAGCTCTGAGGTCCTCGGCCCCTCAGTCCTGCAGACGCTTCAGCGGGCGTCTGGTGAGGAGGGCAGAGAGTAACCGCGAGGTGGTCGCCTGAGGGACGCGTAAGAGCATTCCCCAGGGGCTGAAGGGTCTCTTGCTGGGCGGCGTGCTGCTGAATTTGTCGCTGTATCTTCGTGTTTCAGATATTCACATGCAAGCGTAGGAGATACCAGTAAATAAAAAGATTGAATTAACTGGGGTTGGATGTCTGTGCAAGTTGCACGGTGTTTGATTAATTTTGCTAGCCTCCACTCTGTAAAGTGACCGTATAGGTTAGGGCTAGATTTCAGTAGCATTTTGTCTTCACTAATTTTGTTTTCCTTCTGTAATTTTTTAAGAGGCAGATTCAGAATTAAAGCCTATAGTTGTTCTGTGATGTCTTTTTGTCTACTTACTTCTGCTTTTTTTTTCTCGTTGAAGAGAGTCTAGAGCAGTGTAATTCTACCTCGGCTGGAAAACAACATCTTACCCTGTTGTCAACACTGTACAGTTCAGAGTTGCTTTTAATTATTGCAAGTAGCTTGTCGTAACCTCTAAGGAACAAGTAATTTTTATTTTTTTCCTGTGGATTGTGCCCTTTTGCTCCTGGCAACTGTTGATTTTTTTCATTTTTAAACCTTTTTTCACTGTTGTGTTCCCAGCGGAGTTTAAACCAACACATTTTGTTTATGCAATGCCTATAATAAAGTGAACCTTTTTGTACTCTAGAGACAGGAGCTTCTTACATGACTACAAAAAAGTATTTACTGAGTGTAAGCGTTCTGCTTGGTTGTGTGTACCTGTCAACTATGCCTAAATCATAGAATCATTAAGGTTGGAAAAGACCTCTAAGATCATCGAGTCCAACCATCCACCTAACACCACCATGCCTGCTAAACCATATTCTGAAGGGCCACATCTACACGTTTTTTTAAATGCCTCCAGGGATGGGGACTCAGCCGCCTTCCTGGGCAGCCTGTTCCAATGCCTGACCACTCTTTCAGTAAAGAAATTTTTCCTAATATCCAATCTAAACCTCCCCTGACACAACTTGAGGCCATTGCCTCTCGTCCCATCACTAGTTAGTTGGGAGAAGAGGCCAACACCTGCCGCACTCAAAACTCCCTTCCAGTAGTTGTAGAAAGCAATAAGGTCCCCCCTCAGCCTCCTTCAGACTAAACAATCCCAGTTCCTTCAGTCCTTCCAACTGCAACCTTTTCATCGCAAAAATGAACTGAGAGCAGCTCCGATGCTTACCCTGCTCCGGAACTAGTACAGTTGCACCAGGACTGTGTGCACGTTTTCAATTTGGTTTGCTATTGGTCTCCCTTTCAGCAAGCGACGATGACTTTGGTCTAACAGACCTTCCCATCCCAAATCTCTGAGCTGCCGTGGGAGTGCCTGGGCTGGGGGAGGACAGGGCATTTTGTGGTGTGGGGGGACAGGCTGCGCAGTCCTTAGCTGAGACCCTTCCCGAGGGTAAACGAGAGCTCGTGACCAACTGGGATGTGTTTTCACCTCACAGGATGATTTCCCTCGCACTGGCCCTGGCCCCTGCACTCTCCTGATTCACATGGAGCCATTTGAGAGCTTGTGTCCCTGCTCGCTCCCTGTGCTCTGCAGGGGCTACTGTCTGCTAAGGAGAGACAGGTGAGCAAGCAGTGTATCCAACCCCTGCCTGGCCTGTTAAGATGAACCCTTCTTGAATTCAATTTTCATTTGTATGGTGGGCTGTGCAGCTCACAGCTCTGATTCGTGATCCCTGTTGGATTCAGCTCAGGAACCTGAGAGGTTCCCACTTCCAAAGAGAAGGGACCTGATGTGGAAGAGCTGACTGTCCTTGCTTGGAAATCGAAACCTCTTTCTTTGTGTGTGTAGTGCCCTTCTCCTCCACTGGGGACAATGTGGTAGAGCTCAGAGTGAGCGGAGGCAGCAAAATAATGAGATAATTATTTTATGTTGTCTTGAAAACATTTTGAAAGTCCAATCACTGCCTCATTTAGAATTATGATTTTTAAAATACATTTCAGGCTCTGGACTGTTGAAGTATCTAACATTAAACATATTGACCTATATTTCTAAAGGCCTGCCATCAAGATTATAGCTTATTTAGTAGTCAGACCTTTG